TAAAACTGCAAATATAAAAATAAAAAGCTAATTCAATATCTTAAATACTTTATTATATATAAAATACTTATATACATAATCCATGTAAATTGTGTCTTTAATATAAACTAGCAAATTAACAAAAAAATATGAAAAATACACACTTTAATTTATTAACATACATATAATTAAAATTAATAAGGCAAGGCAAGTTTATTTATATAGCACATTTTATACACAATGGTAATTCAAAGTGCTTTACATAAAAGGAAGTAAAATAATCATTAAAAAAATCACAACAATAAAACAGGGAACTTAAAAACTTTTAAAATGATTTAGAAATTGATTTGAAATTAATTTAAAACAGTTACAAATAGAAAATGATTATACATAAAATACAGTGCAAAATAATTTTCAGACATTAAATATATTAAAGGAATTGTTTTAAAAACTAAATTGGTCCTCTTTGATATCTTATGTATTGGTGCTTCTCAAGTACATTTATCTTGCTTCAAGAATTTTTAGATATGTGAACTGGAAACAGACGAAACTGATCGTTAAGAAAATGATTTTTGCAGTGCATAGAAACACATAAGTGTATTTTTGAATATGATGAGCAAGCTTGTATGTATTTCTGACGTCTTTGAGAGCAGCTTCACTCATCTGATAAACTGTAATCATTAGTTTGTTGCTGCGCTTAATTAACTCCGTCTAATGTTCTTCCTCCGTCTGTGGAGCCCTTAATAAACATCCATCTCCTGTTTCCATCTCCTTATCTGCCCGTGGCCCCTGAAGGGACCGGTCTGGATGTGCGCTCCTGAGCGAGCTCTATGAGCTAAACGCCGTAGCATGCTAGAATGCGCTTCAGGACAGCAAAGCTCCTTCTATAATTGGCCTGTGAATCACCAAGCACCATCCTATCCTTTTAGGCTACTCTGGACCGCTTAGAGAGATCCCTCGAGAGAAATTCAACACCACGGTGATCCCGAAGTCTTATTGTTCACCGTGGCGGGAAGCCCTGGGAGAAAATGAAGAGCTTCTGCCTTCACTCAACACTCAGATAGCGGAACCGCCACAGAAACTCCCGCCGGCGAACTACAGGTGCTTTAACAGGTAAGATAGTAGCTACCTTTCAGGGGAAGTCTGTTCACTCGGCGGCCATATTTGAAACGGCGAAATTCTGAAATCTCAGAAAAACCAACTTAATTGGTTAATTAATTAATAACCAAGTAATTCAACTAGCAGCATTCAGGAGTCTTGAAAGTCCCAATCTGATTCAAATTCATTATGACTGCTGAAACAAAACGGAAAGAGTTGCATCAAACGGTTCATTGATGCATCACAATAACATGACTCAATATATTGCAGCCAATAGGGTTGGGATTCCCCTGTAACAGCTTCTTTATTTGGGAGGGATTAAGTCTTCATTCTCTGCGGTACCAGAAAACCGAGGCAAAATATGATATGAGAAACGGCCTTGAGGGTCACCAAGAGGTTTTGGCACATTAGCTTCATGCATGCTGATGGTGTGCCTTAATCGCGACAGTCCTAACATATTTAGGTTAACTGAGCAAGGGCATTTTTGCTTGCCTTTTACATGGCTTGAAATCGCATAATCTCCCATGAAAAAAAGCAGAATTTACAGGAGATTTTACATTATTTTAACCATAATTTGTATTTGCCAACAACACTCACTAAAGCAGCAACCTCCCGACATTATCTCCCGCAAAAGGCATTTTGGTTAAAAAACGAACGAACGTTATTCAGTAATAAAGCTAATTATTATAAAAACCAATGCAATTGCAATTTCAAGCACTTTATCCAAAGTCCAAGCACTTTTCAAGGATTTCAAGCACCCGTACGAACCCTGTAAATAGTAATATAAATAAAGAAAACACAAAAGCATGTCAAAAGCACATAAAATGTGTAAAAAGAAACTAAAATTAAATGAAAATATAAAAAAAATTATATGAAAATTACAATAGTAATACATTTTATAAATTCATAAAATACTGAAGTAAAATAAACGAAACCTAAATAGTAATATAAAACAGAAAACACACACAAAGGCTATGTTTATATATTAAATATATTTATATATGATATAAATTATATGAATATAAATATATACATGTAAATACATGTAAGTATTTTCTAAATATATACTGTATGTGTGTGTATTTATATATATACACATAATAAATATACACAGTACACACATATGTAAACAAAAACTGTTATTTTGGATGCGATTAATCGTTTGACAGCACTACTAAAAATTAAAATGAAAACTGAAAATATAAAAATAGAAATGAAAACTATAATAAAAATACATAACTGTAATAATAATAAATATAACAATACAACAACACTGCATTGAATACTCAGAAATATGCCACATGATGGAGGGGAATGGGTTGTGAGAGCACTTGCAGATTCAGTTCAACTCTTCTTTATGTGGTTTTTGTTTTAGAGCTGCAGTGCCATTTGGAGGTCCAGTGTGCAGTCAGAGGGTGATTCCTGTTATTGGCTTTGAAGCTCTGGAGACTCCAAATCTTTCTGGCATGACCTTGACCACCATGTCGAAACGACGCAACTTCAACAGAGCCCCGCGGGGATGGGGCATCGGATACTCGCCTGAGTCAAATGACCTGTGAGCTCGGCGCTGATCCACACCTGTAACATTAGAGGAAAAGACTGCCGCGCCGTAAAGACCTGCGCTTTGCACTTTCAGGCCATCCCATTATGTTCCCGGCAGGTGAAAGGCCAGAGGAGAGCAGCTGGAAAACCAACATTAAACATCAGGATAAAGATGATTAGGATGAGGAGATGGTTTTAGCTCAGTGCTGGATGAAGGAAGTCTTGGCTGTTCTCTTAAACCGTTAAAGGAATAGTTCAGCCAAAAATTACAACTTGCAGAAAGTTTTATCCATCCAAAGATGTAGATGAGTTTGTTCATTCATGGGAACAAATTTGGAGAAATGTAGCATTGCATCACTTGCTCACCTGCAGTGAATGGGTGCCTTCAGAATGAGAGTCCAAACAGCTGATAAAATGTTCAGCAAATTGTCTTTTTGGATGAACTATTCCTTTAACACTGCTATACAATAAGAACTCGGTCTAAATCTTATAATTATTCATAACAGCCTTTGGCATTTCATAATTGTAGACATGTAATATGCAAATGAATGGTGTTCACGGTAGTGTTTCAAGTGTGCAGCAGGGGCCCCTAAAATGTATTTAGACACTTTAAAGGGATAGTTCACCCAAAAAAGAAATTTGATGTTTATCTGCTTACCCCCAGGGCATCCAAGATGTAGGTGACTTTGTTTCTTCAGTAGAACACAAACAAAGATTTTTAACACAAACCGTTGCAGTCTGTCAGTCTTATAATGTAAGTGAATGTGAATCACGGCTTTGAGAGTCAAAAAAACATACACAAACAAAACCAAATGAAACCCTGCGGCTCTTGATGATACATTGATGTGAAAAGACCCGAAACGATCGGTCTGTGCAAAAAACTGAACAGTATTTATATCGTTTTTTACCTCTGATTCACCGCAATGTCCGAACTGTCCTGAGGGAGGCTCTCGTGACGATACATAGATGTGTAAAGACACGAAACGATCGGTCTGTGCAAGAAACTGAACAGTATTTATATTGATTTTTACCTCTGATTCACGCAATGTCTGAACTGTCCTGAGCGCGTCCTGAGCGCTTTGACCATTGACACTCCTAATTGAGATTGTAGATAGAGTGTCAATAGTCCATTTGAGAGATAGGTGGCGGTAATGCACTTATAAGTCTGCCGTAAAGCAAGAAGATGAAGAAGACGCGTCACACGCTGGCTGTCGAGGACGCGCTCAGGACAGTTCAGACATTGCGGTGAATCAGAGGTAAGAAAACGATATAAATACTGTTCAGTTTCTTGCACAGACCGATCGTTTCATGTCTTTACACATCAATGTATCGTCACGAGCCACAGGGTTTAATTTGGTTTTGTTTGTGTATGTTGTCTTTTACTCTCAAAGCCGTAATACATTTGAAATCTCAAAGACATAATACATTTGAAAAGTAGAAAAAAAAATTTATGAAGACGTGATAAAAAGTTTCCGAGACTTAATATGGCCTTCATATAACAAAAAAGAAAACAAGTTGAAATCTGTTAGTTTTAATATCTTCGTTTGTGTTCTACTGAAGAAACCAAGTCACCTACATCTTGGATGCCCTGGGGGTAAGCAGATAAACATCAAATTTTCATTTTTGGGTGAACTATCCCTTTAAGCACATGGAAAATATGTGTTTGATATTGCATTAGATGACTAAATATAAAAAATCTATTGTTTTCACACTGAACTCTTTTTTTTTTTTGTCAAATATTTTTCTTGTAAAATGTGTTTGTGCATCTTTCTTAAAATAAAAAGCACTTGCTTTGATATGTTGTGTCTAATGCAAAAGTGTCTAAATACTTTGAGTCGCTGTGTTTCTTAAAAACAGCAGACTGCATATTTAATGATGGTTAGTTTAATGTTCACAAAAGAAAATGGTAACGGTAGGCTCTTTCAATAAAAAGTACTTGTTTTTGAATTTCTTTTTTCATGTTACAACAGAAAAAACCTGAACTGACAGTTCGTTAAAAAAATGCTTCAGAACACAAAGAAAAACAGAGAAATATTAGAAAACTGCATGAAAACAAATATCAAGTTCTTTTTACCCTTAAGAGAAGCAAGACAGTGGCTATGCAACTATCACTTACTTTAAAAAAAACATTTTTTAACATAGTTGCTTCCTTTAAATAGACACTACATTTAATTATGTTAAATCTCTAGATGTAAGAGTGAATGGCGTGGGTGTGTGGATCTCACAAAAACTGTACAAAAACAATTTAAATTAAGCAATTATTTTTTTACAAAAAGAAAATGAAGGGACCATAAACATTTGCACGAATTAAGCACTAATTATCCACCCAAATTGTCAGTAATCTACCGTAATGCAAAACTCATTATGTTTACTTTAATGGGTTACATTTTTCGTGTCAAACTGCAAAAAGTCCTAAACGGCGCTTTGTTTTCAATGTAAACTCAAGTTAGCATTTTGATGATGTTTTAAACACTTTGACTGATGATAACGAGGAGGCAGAGAGTTTGTGTCTGAAGTAAGATGGGTAAACTTTAATAACAAGGGCCTATTTGTTGGTAAGCTGTGTCTGTGTGTAAGATGTGACTGAGGCATGATGATGTGGCACTGCACTCACAATAGCATCCCCAATCACATGACCATACCATTGTGTACCAGTCAATCACTCTGTATCTCTGATGACATCACCCCCACAGATCAATAACCGCAGCAGTGAGGGAATCTTTACTAGTCCACATGAGGAGGCAATCAATCGCAGCATGGATCTGGAAACATGGATCTGAAGGGTAATGGATCTGGCCTGGAGGTCTCAAAGCCATCGGAGGAGGTGGAGGAGGGCCCATGGGGTGGAACACGGGAGGTCCAAAACCTGAAACCATAAGCAGACCGTATTACTTGAAATAAGATAATCTTTAACTAAAAATAAAATATGAAAAAAAAAAAACTTTCAGCTAGTTGCCAAAGCAAAAAAATTCATTTCATTTTAAGTACTTAATATTGATGTACTAAATTAAATAGCTAAAATGAAACCAAAATTAATACAAACTAAAAATTAATTAAAAATTAATAAAAACTACATAGACTAAAAATACCACTAAAAATGGTTTATAAAAACTTTTTTTTTTATTTCCAAAGCAACATTTTCATTAAGTTTAAATTCATGTACTAAAATAACTAAAACTAAAATAACATTAGTAAAATGAATAAAAACTAAATGACAAAAATACAACAAATTTACTAAAACTTTAAAATTAAAATATAATAAAATATAAAAATAAAATTCAAAATATTAATAAAATATAAATGATACTAAAATAACACTGCTCTATATCACTGTTATACACGCAGAGTTTTTGAATACTTCATTCAAACATACTGAAAACACACTTTAAGATTTAAAATGACAATAACATTGTTCCTGAATCTCTGCTCACCTGAGCTCAGAGTCTGTGACATTTTCTCCCAGTCCCCCGATGTATAACGTGGTGATGGACTTGTCCTCAGGTGGGTCCAGTCGAGGCATGCTGGACGCTCTCTTCAGGAGTTTATCTGCCACCGGGTCGCTGATGCCATAATAACGATCTTTAATGTTCTGATCGGCCAGAGGATCGTCAGGATCTGTGGGCTTCTCATGCCTGATGGGACATCAATGATTTTAGTGACTTCAGTTTTGGACAGAATCAGATCACAACACCTGCTACTGCCACCGTGAGGACAGTCATCTGCATTACAGCTTGAATCCAGTTATATTTCAGTTTAGAAAAACCAGAAAATAATGTAATTAAGGAAATTCATTTAACTTGTTTGTTCTGATCAATCAAAAAGACACAAGTCTAATTAATGTCATATGAGCTTTTAGAAAAGATATAGAAAAGATCAAATGGGGAAAAAAGTATCTATGCTATAATAACAACAGGGCTGTCAAAAAAAAAAAACGCATTAACTTTTGTGATTTATATTTTCTGTTTAACATTCATTTTAAAATTTTAAAATAAAATATATTTGGGGTGTAATATGTCCAAAATCACCCCCTTATGGTAATACTGCACGCAAAAATTATATTTTAATTTTTTATCTTTTTAATTAGAAAAATATAAAACCTGTAAGCCTATTGACCAAAAAGTTGCTGATTAAAATATTTTTGTATTGAATGCATAATGCATTATAATGGATTTATGTGAAGTCAGTATCAATATTGGTATCTGTGATACTTGCCTTCTTTCATAGTACTTAAAGAAAAAATGTACTGACATTATAAGTGAATGATTTAACCCCTTAAAACACTCAAACTGAAGAGTCTGACCTGTAGGGACACTCCTCTCCTCTCTTACACTCTCCCTTCACCCAGAAGGAGCAGATATGGGGTCTGTTGCGTTTGTAGTACGGCGTGGTTCGTGCCAGCTTCAGCAGCATGTCACTGGGGTTCTGTGCTTTACCCAGCATCCCCACCGGTTTGGTACCGTCTGAGTTCTGGATCTGACACAGACAGGAAACCAACCACATGCTACAATTTCACATATTTCTTTTTTTCAGGCATTGGATTTCTTAGATGTAATATTGTTACCTCTCTCTCCATGTTCTGAGTGTAATATTCCTTGTTCACGTCAGACCTGGGCATGTCGTCTTTAATGGACATGCCCGTGTCTCTGACCAGGATTGGAAGACCTGTAAAAACAAACATTATTTCAGGCCGTTGTTCCCAAACGTTTCTGTCAGTCAAATCAATTTGATGTGAGATTTTGTTCTGAGATTTTAAGTTAATATTTTGATAATTTAACACCACATTCGCATGTGCATGTAAACTATTTTTTATTTAATTTATTTAATTGTATTTATTAATAATATTTTTAATTTTAATTGTTTTTATTTTACATTTATTTTTTGTAATGTTTCTTTTTATGATTTAATGGATACACAGCCCTGATTTGCTTAAAAAAAAATTTTAGTTAAAAAATATCAAATATATATTTAAAAAAATATCAATCAAAACATTCTGTCACATACAGTTTGTTCACAAAATAAGAATGAATATTTTTCTAATTAAATAAAGAAGTGTGACAGAATGCCATTGCAAACATACCTTCTGATATACAGGGTTATTATAGTCAACCAAAAATTTATACCATTAAAAATAATAATAATAATAATTACTTGAAACAAAATAAATAATATATTTCAAAAAACAATTTTATTTCAGCTAGATGCCAAAGCAACATTTCTCATTTGAATTTAGTTTAACGATGTACTAAAATAACTAAAAATAATAATAAAAACCATATAGAAATATAAAAAAACTAAAAATGACAAAACAAAAAATTACTTTAAAATTAAAATGAAAATAAAAACTCTAAATATTAATAAAAACTATGATAGTATCTCAATTATACTAAAATAATACAGCTGATTTGCAAAAAGGCCTAATATTACCTAAAATATACATTTTAAATCACATCACATTTTTTTCCTCACAAATTAAGAAATAAGATTTCTCAAATGTATGTATCATTCAAATGCATGTATAGTTTTAGTTTTCATGACAGAAAAAGAAGTATTCAAAATGTATAACTTAACATACAGTTTGATAAGGAGTGGAACAATATGTTTAAATTCTCCATTTAATGTAAAAGAACTTAACAAAATAAACTTTTTTCACAAATTTTCACCCACAGATGTAGCAGAAAACATCTGGCTTATGTTTGTATTTTCTTCTGTCACTGGCCATAATTCTAACCTTGAAATCAGGATCAGGCATATATTAAAATCATGCTTGTGAAAATAGGCTGAGTGAGAATTGAACAAATAACTGTAGTCTGGCTCAGAGGAAGAGATTTTCTGGTTTGGGTTCTGGTGTGTAACTCTTACCGTACTCCAGGTCCAGCAAACACGTCTGACATACGTTCTTCATCTTACTGCAGGTCTGACACGCCTCAGTCTTCTTAAAGCGCATCCGAATTTTTCAGTGCATGACTGAAAGCCCAAATAATTGTTAAAAAATACCTTTTATCGAGGAAAATACTTTTGAAAACTTTTTTGAAAATAATTATTAAGATGTGTACAGTCATGTGCATTCAATGTGTACACAACACTGACTTTGTTCTTCATGATTGCATCACTAAACTGCATCAAAATGTTGAAACTGATAATACAAGTCATCCAAAACTGTATGAAATTAGCACAATTACAAATATTGCATTTATAAGAACTTGGCACGCGCATTTAAAAATAGCTTTTTCCACATCTCAGACAAGCTTTTTGTCAAATATTGACCCATTTCCAACAATAAGTGCTTTGCTGTATCTTCACACTTGCTTTAAGATACTGTATAAATTCCTGATCTCTCTAAACTGCTCCCTCAACAAGTTCTACCATGTCATTCACCTCATTAGAGGAGCTAAAGATAGTTTAAGCAATCACAGCAGCACTGATACCTGCTAAAGGAGAGAGAGCTGGCGTTCTGGATACTAGATGTCTTTATGGATCAGATGTTCTGATCACTGCTAAAACAGTTTCTAGTGTTAAAGGGTTAGTTCACCCAAAAATGAAAATTAGCCCATAAATTACTCACCCTCAAGTCATCCTAGGTGTATATGACTTTCTTCTTTCAGACGAATCCAGTCTGAGTTATATAAAAAATTGTTTTTGATCTTTCAAGCTGTTTCATGGCACTCAGCGGGTGTTGCATGCATCAGTCCAATAGCAGTTAAATAAAAAGCGCCCATCCATAAAAAAAATGTTTCACACGGCTCCGGGGGGTGAACAAAGGCCTTCTGTAACAAATCAATGCGTTTTTGTAAGAAAAATAGCCATATTCAAAACGTAATAATCACTGTAATGTAGCTTGCGCTCACTGTTGTACACTGGAAGCAGCTCCGGGCGGATGACGTATGAGGTCAGCTTTGCGCATGCGCTGCTCAGAAGTG